TCACGCATCACTTACTAAACACGTGTGCCTGGTTACCAAGTGGTCGAGTGAATGACGGTCGAGTGAAAGTTTAGCGTTCAAAAAAAATTCGAGAGTTCGCACTCATTTGAAATCGGGTGTAATACTCATTAGAATAAAAGGTGATCATTTGGAGATTATGCGGTATTTTTAACTCATTATTTCAAGTAGCTTAAGAGCCAAAAACATTGATTTTCAACTGGAGTGGCCACTGCGAAGTTTCCCGCATAACGAAACAGTATTTCATGTTAACACAAGACTGCAAATTTGTCACAAAGTGGGCCTACTTTTACTTTAGATTTATATTTTTGTTTTAGAAATCCATCATAACAGTGTATAAACACAGCCTATAAAGCTAAAATCACTACCATTATTAATGTGAAGTAAATGAAGGCTAGAGGAACCTAAATATTTGACTCCAATTTGACCCATATCAATGAGAATAAGCTCAAAAAGCACGAAGACAATTTCCGGTTAAAAATAGCTTTGTAGTAGCCCTTGTCAAGTGTTCATAGTCTTGTTACATGAACACTGGAGTATCCAAATCAATTTCAAGAAGATGACAATTCTTTTTAATACATGATAAATATTTAATTGACAAATTATGTCTGATCAAACTTCTGCCCTGGCCTTCTGCAAAAAACAATAATGARTTACAGTGAAAATGAACAATTTTTGTGGCTAATCGATTGCTTGTAATCATGATGTGTACACCTAATTGATAAAACGTATTCAGGTTCCAAAAAATTACCTCATGGAAGCTAAGGTCGAAAGGGAGCATGGGCAACCAAATATGACGTGCATAACGATGTTTCAGAGTCAAAAGATTGTGTAAAGTGACATTCTCTTGTCGACCAATGCTTTTTCTTAGCATGTTTAGGTAAATTTTATTGGAGTTTTCTGAGTCCTTTCTAAATACCCGACGGCGTGGGCTTGGATGACATCACCTTTTGCGACCCGACAACGTTAATTCAATTATGTGTATATACTTTAGGTATTTCAAACTGATAAGATTGTCGGAGTGAAACGAAGATGCCCCAGACGACCGAAAGAATTTGTTCTTTACAATCAATGTTCACTCATCTGCTAAACTAGCCAAACCAGACAAATCATTTTGAAATAATTTTAACAGTATTGACTGCCTTTGAGGGGTGAATGGCGCCATCGACATAGCTAGGCTACCCATGGTTACCCACAACCCGTTTTGAAATACCTATACAAACTTAATGTTCCGGTATTGATATGCTGTGTTTGATAGGGCCGCTAATCTAGGAACGAATGTGATAGGATGGGAAGAGAAATCGTCGTGTGAGGCGTACTAACACTTTATATTAAATTTATCGAGCAGAACACTCAAAATCACTTGTCTCTGGTGCCAATATTTCATCAGCATTGACACAAGCCTGCACAGTGGAAGCTACTTATTTATGCATTACTATAATGTACGCAAGAAAGTGACGCTGATTTCAGATCTGTCATTAAGAAACAATATCAGTGGTCGTCTCTCCTCATCGTTCATCACCAGGTTTCTACTGGT